GCTACAACCTAGAATCACTTACGGATCTGGAGGATGTGCACATGCACACCACTGACTCTCGATAGAGGGGAATGTCAATTCAAGCCCCCCTAAACTTGGCGAGTCAAGAGTACCCATAGTTTTCACAAAAGTGTTACTGTATCAATTAGACTCCATGCACTCTTTCGCAATCAATGTGAAACCCTGTATAGACAATCAGACTACATCTTCTGGTGCACATTACCAGTAATTGTACAGTAAACTCGCAGTTCAAATGGCTATCTCACCGTTTTTTCTCAATTGGTGCACAGACTGGAGAATGATGGTGATACTACAACCCTGACACAATTATCTATTAAAGATACTGATCCGTTACTGCATCACTGTTACAGTATGTTTTAATATTATAGGTTCATACATGAATCAAAATTAATTTATTAATATTTGATAGATTCCTAGAGTAACAGCTACAACTTTGATGTAGACGTAAAACTGTCCACGTACCTCTACCTCTCCACGGTGAACAAAATACATCTGGTGACCGATTTCTCCACGGTTTGCAATGGTTTGTTTTGGCAGGTACAAGGATGGTTTGATTACTAACGATAACATACGTAGGAACCCTTCGTTCATTGACCTGAACATGGGAGCCTAGAAGTAATTAGGGGAGATGTAATTAACACAATGATATGTGATATGTCAGAAATATATTCATGACAAAAATAATAAATGTACACATATCTGACTCACCTTTTCAAGTATATATTTATTGCCAACAAGTGCAACTTCTGCTTTAAATGTAAGAGGCAGTGCATCAAGAAGTCCTTCACCATGGACACCTCTCTTCCGAACCCAGAGATATTCATAATAACCAATTACCAGTTTCTGTAATTCTTCTGGAACTGTTAAATCTTTCTGTAATATGAAATAAGTTGACCATTTCAAAGGTAGCAATTTGAGACAAGTATATAATTATTTATACATCACAACTGGTTGCTATTTAAAAAACAAACAAACACATAATTCACAAATGGGTTTATAAAAATTCTTGATCCATCGTAAAGTGCATGTTAATTGCAACCCAAACTGCACGATTTATGCAACCAAGGCAATTTCGGCATACGTGCCTAATTTGCATATCACTTGCAGGTTTGCCTTCTCCATATTCTGTTTTTGATTCACATATAGTATTCAGCGCATAACTTGTAAAAATAACCATACCCCACAAACGTCAGTAAAGTCATAGGGCGATGTATCATATTATACACGAGAATGACTGATAAATACTGAAATAGACACAGAAATCAATTACTTACCAAATGCTCCTTGATAACATTAAGTCGATGTGTATATTTAGCACGCTGGGCGTCAAAATTAGTCAACATGGAGGCCATACCACCAAGAATCATGCCAAAGAAGACAAAGATACCTAACAACATAGCAAATATGGAAAACCAACGTTCATTTTCGTTGACAGAATGAATATCACCATACCTGTAATGTAGAAAGCAGTGAAAGTTTGAAGCAAATACAAATATCATTTTGGTTAACTTAAAATCACTGAAATGTCTGACAATTATATAAAAAATTATTTTTTATTTATTTAAAAAATATGTGATTTATATTTATTTCATATCCACATGGATTTATAAAATTAGGTAATGCAAGTGTGTGATATGCAATGAGATCACACACGAACTGAAGAATTTATGCAAAATGCAATACGGTAAAAAAAAGTCAAAATTAGTCTGTGAAAGAACTGATTCGTGTTCAACTCAGACCACTTTTGTCATGTAGTATGTACACTTTTAATTTTTGAATGAAGTGATAGTATCACCCATTTCTGTTCACGTAATCGAACATTTCCAAGCATATAGTACATTCTGTGACGCTTTTGGTTGAACTACATATACAATCATAGAGGGCGCTGTTGTTTCTTCAGAAATCCTATGGAAGCAATTATTGTTGGATTTTCGACCATCAGATGGCATTACCTTTATGTACTGTAACATATCGAATTTGACTATCTTTTGACTATCACCTACTAACATGCCAAACTTTACATCATTTGAAATCAGTTGTCTTTCCACAGCAAAATGGTAAATTTGGTGATTTATTCTGACCAAGAAATCACTGAATCCCACAATGTTCTATTGTGAAAATATACGAAAACACCACCACATGAATACTCAGTACAGGTCAGGCATCTTACCCTGTTGAAGTCGTTGTGGCAACTGCCCAGTATAAAGTGATAATATAAGCGGAGCCAGTAGACGTATTTGTCATATCAGTTCCTAGTATAATTGGAACAAGAAATTGGATTACATTATTACGGTATGCACACAATTAAACCATGAGCTGAAGACATTATTAAACACAATAAAACAAGCAAAACACTGTGTGTATTAAATGCTACATATTGTTTGTATTTGCTTGATTAGTATCTGCAACGTATGATTTTGGTAACATTCGCAGTAATATAAAACTAGTTTTAAATCACACTGGGATGAATAATAACTAATTAACCACCGAATGCAGCTAAAACTGACGAAACTGGAACTCACCTAAATTAATTTCATCTGGACTGGTTCCCCATGATTTATTAAAACATTCAGGATTAATACCATCATGAAGACCAACACAGGTCAACGCATACCACGCACACGATAAGAGATGGTTCATCAAAGCTGCTAACGTTGTATATTTAAGTGTTCGAATCAGTGCTGTATTGGTGCCTAATTCAGACTCTCTTAACTCTGTAATAATCAGAATAGAACCATGTTATCAACTTTTTATGACAGCCCTCTGCAACAAATTTTAATTGGTAGTGTGAACTTAAAATTGAAATGGAAGATGCATGAACAGGAAGTAGAAATAAAAATAATGAAGAAAAAAATTGTTGTGTAAAAGAATTTGATGAAAATAAAATGAAACCACTTATTTAACTTGTCTGTTAAACCATTTTGAATTACTAAAAAAAAGATAATTGTGTTTGAAACAAGTAAATGCATTTACCAAAATCGAATTTAATTGAGATTTGATATTAGGTGATAATGTATTATTGAAAAAAAATATATAATATATATTATTTTATATACATCCTTGACTTTTGAAAATCAAATATCAAACCTCTCTAGTGACTGTCATTACTTCACTGGTTCATGGTTCATGTTAAAGTGAGCATAATAAGTCTCCATTCCATTTGTTTCAACAAACTTTACAGATTCTGTATCTCATATCCATGAAGCAGACACAAGAGAAACTGACAGCTACCCCAAACAACCTCAAACTATCAATAATTTTTTTAATAATGCTCTTCACGTGTGAAACAATAAACAATAGAAATAGACTGTATGATTACTAGTAAACTATAGAACCATAGGATCTCCAAAACACTATTATATGTTGTCTTTTCAATCAGAGAGACCCGGTAAGATGCATACGTGGGAGTGATAGCAATATTCTCAGATCACGTAAATACATACATAACTATTCAGGCAAGATGTCAGACTTCCGAATACATTACGCATCACCTAATAATTATACAACTACCAGCTTAACTAATAGTTATCTGAGAGTTTACAGAGCTGGTGGTACACTATTGGTCATTTAAAGCCACAGTCGCTCAACACGGGACTGTGCTAAAGCGAATGACATCATTGTACAACACCCTCATTACCAGGACCACCATGGTATGAATGTGACATCGCGGTATTAAGTAATTGATTGCATGAGTTATGGCCTCGAAAGATCGATTGTCGTTGAACTTGGAAGTTGAGAATCTAGTCACAGTCGCAAGAAACACACGTTAGGCTTGAGCCGAAATCCCCGTTTTCTGTCTGCGATAGATCGTGGTCGAAATCAAGTCATGGCGGGTTACTAGCAAATGTTATGGCCAATTACCAGCGCCAACCACCACGAGCGAGAGTACTGTACGATTGAGTACGGTGAGTACACACCAAACTCAAAGAAAGACAAATGCGCCCTCAACGTTCAATTTTAGAAATATGGGCATGCTGCAAACAATTTATGCAATCTATTGTACTAGATGCGTTACATTGTAACGGGTCATTCTTAAAATAAAATAAAGTCACTAAAGTACAGTTACATCTAACATCTGACACGAGACGATAGTTTTTATTACCATATGATAGGATTCCATTCCTCCAAAAACCTAATAACATGATGTTTGGGTATTGATCTAGCAGTTTAATTTAAACAGTTGCCTGAGGGTCATGGCAGTGTTCCTCCCTGATGCGAGGCGAACATGCATGAAATTCTAACATAAACGGGTCAGACATAAACATAAACAAATCTGTTGGGATATCTCGACTCAAATTAAAATTACATGGGATTAAATTAAAAAGTGTTGGCACGAAGATATAAAGCCAGGAACTGAAAAATGTCTAGGGCCTGAGAGCGGAACCTAAAAATAGAAACCAGTTGAAATATTTCAATATTAAACATGAAATATTTCATTAAAATCGATACACGTGAAAATGTTTATGATTTTACGGCAACTTGTATGCCTCTGCTGTTACTGCACTGAAATAATCCAGTGGTGTGATTTGTTGCTCAAGCCAACAGTCGAAAAACCACACCAGTAGAAATGACACATCAAGTTTTATTTTTACTTCCTAAAAAAACGGGCATTCGACCGTTCGGTTATTTGTTCATCCACTCATTATGAAATTATCGAAAAAGTGAATATATTTATTCTCAAATATTTGTTTTATAGTCGTGTCGGCCTCAGAGAAACACATCGGTATGAAACTTTCTGATTTATTAGTGAACTAAGAAACTGCTTGGTGTACTCGTAAAAACGCTGACGGCTATTAAACTTCAAGAGAAGACCTATATCCCGATTGAAGAGAAAATTGTACGTCGAACGTAATGATAACCGTGACAGTGCCATGCAAGTGTAGTAACTTGAAATTGATCAAAGAATTGGGTAAGTTGGATAAGTTCTGCTGTTAGTAATGGACATGTGACTATCGACAACAAGTCCACGCACAATTTCTAACTAAAATAAATAACGTCAATGTGGGAACTATACAACAACAACAAAAAAACAGACGACAAAGATACACAAGGGATTCCAACCATAGAGGTACATGCTATGTTGTTGTTGTTTTGTTTTTTTTCGTTCAATACCATGACTGTTCACAACTCTCATGCGGGCATCTCATGAAAATACTGCAGTTATTTGACTTTTATAAGAGTAAAGTTAGGCAAGAGCGAATATTCAAACCAATTGGGGATAATTAAGACTTGATGATTTAAATAGCGTTGTTTTTGAGGTACGCAACTAAGTATAGAGTCTGCCCAATTTCAAACTTGTTTTTGCTGCTATAAATAATGAAAATAAAGTTCAAAATACCGTTCGCGTTTGAGCCCATTTGCCAGAATTACGTATTTTAATATGCAACTGAATTGGGAAAAACTTATTTAGGTGATATGGTAAATTTCAATTTTCAAAAGGCCCAAAATCTAGAGACACTCGTACCTGATTACATGTACATTGTACATTATTGGAATTGTGACCTATGCAAATGATGTTTACATAAGAGCTATTTTTAAAATGTGGTCTCAACAGAATACAAAAAAAGTATGTCGAAAAGGATAACAGTGAATAATTAATTGCGGTAAAAATGCCTTTGATTTATTTGACATACATTGCTGTAGGATGGTCGCTGTGACATAATGATTACATTGCAAGGGTTCAAATTCCGTGTCGACATCTGAACTCGGCGTGCGAATTCTTGTATGAGTAAAAACGACAGTTGTTAATCGTTTGTCACAACTTTCAGACATCTGTGTATGTGAATAAACAACACATATTTTGTCATAATGTTGACAAAGGGGAACTCGGGACTGGATTCTTGGCTACTGTTTATGCTGAGAGACATGTACCGTGTTCTCACTAGGATATTTTGCGTCGGCGTACAAAAGTTGCCGCGGCGCACGGTCACATAAATCGGCGAGTTCACCCCACCAATTCTTACACGAGGCGTGAATATGGGGCCATTGGATAAGCCACTGACTCGTGAATTGGGCAATGTTTCGGTTTACCCATGGAAGGCTTTTTTTTACCTTCCATGGTTTACCATATATTTCTGTCTCTTGTTAATTTTTTTTTTAATCGAGCAATAATAATAAACAATTCTGTGCCCTTAATATACATACGTATGAACACAGAGCTAATCTCGTTTAGCTGTTGGAACTATTCTGCATATTTCGAGTTAATACGGGTCAATATAACAACGTACTGCATTAAAATTACGAGCTTGCCGACTTTGAAATTAGATAAACTTAAATACAGTTGACTGTGACACTCAACTTCACATTTGTTAACGACAACACCTTGAACTAGACAAAATACGAAATCCTAGTAGATTAAAGAATATATGAACTTAAAGTACTAATGGTGATTTCGAACCCAGCCATGTACATACATACTAAGTACATGTATATCATATGAAAAGTGGGCAAGAGTCAAGATTAGACGACCTTGTAACTAACGACTCGCGGGAACAAATAGGTCAAGAGGCCGGATTGTTTCTCTTGTTTTCTGAACGACGATCAAAACAAACATGATGGACTTTCTCAATCTGGGTCAAAATCAACTCTACACTCGGGAATCAAAGTGCAGGACAATTCTGAATACTGCGTATACTAGTACTCAAATTGGTGAACAATACATAAAATGTCCAATGTATAAACATAGACTGTTTCCTAATTGTAATATGATCCATCGAACTACTATTACTCCTAGCAATTTTCATAAAGTTCATGTTGTTACCAAACTCAATTACACGAATACTGGATCGGTTATATTTAAATTTACTTTTATTTGCGTATATATCCAATGATCCCTTCCAGGGCGAGTTTACCCTCGTTCCACAGAGAAGAGCTTTGTCGCAATACCTTCGCCCTCTTAAAATTGTGTGCGGCGAAACGTTATACGAACCACCCAGTCTGAACAAAGTAGACACATCGTTTCAATTTCGAGATTTGTGTGTTATAACGATGTATAAATGTCGACTATGTAATATTCAGATAACATTTTACCATAAACACGACATAAATGACGTGCAGTTGTATTCTAGCACATCAATGAACATTGATCGTGTCCTGATAAAATTCGATGGTCGATTGGCAGCCATTTTGTCAAATTTCGTATTTTTTACGATGTCCGATTAGGTCTAAACATGACACACGCAATACAATTGTGTTTTAGCACCTAAATGATCTGTGATCCAATCCAAAATGACCGAATGACAGCCATTTTCTTTTACAATTTGCCAACATGGACTTAATAAATTCATAGATGTTAAAGCGCGGCGGTCGTCGCGCGGCGCGTGTTCGAATTTCATGTAAATAAACAATGTGTTTTACACGCGTTGTATACGTCGCTATGAGTCCCATATCAAACAGGACGCGGCGCGACAGTATAGATTTTGAATAAGCACTTGTACTGGGTTGCAGTAGTTGAGTACACTAGTTCACACCGTACAGGAGGTTTATAGAATGAAGTTATAGGAGAAAAAAACACACACCTAGGTTTACAAAAATGGCAATCATAAAGCAAACCAGGTAGGAGACTTGATTACGAAACACGTGTTTATAGGAGCGAAGCGTACGCGTCCTCGTATTGTGATGATTTATTTGGCCGCAAAAGATAGTATTAACGATGTCGTGAGTGAGGCACCGCCTTGAGCTTATGACACCCATTAGATTAACAATCAAAACGTTA